AGTTAACGGGGGCCTCGTTTAAATAACAGCTTAATATCACAATAATTCTGTGTACGTTTGCCAAAGAAACGTCAATGTCACGGAACGCTCACGGGTCTGAAGTTGGGAATTCAACGGGGAAAATGTCGGACCTCCAAATTGTCTGGAAAAAGCTGACAAGCACACTTCCTAAAACGATTCCTTTCACAAAGACAGTAACCGTTTATCTAATAGTGGTCTTGACAATCTTGTGATGTAAAACTAGTTGTAGTTTAGTTTTGGTACCACGACAGCTAGGTCCACTTGTTTTATGTCCCAGTGTGGTTGCTGTACTTGATGGGAGCAGTGAGCATATCTGGACTGAGGAGGAGTGATGTAGAGACGCCGTATACGTCTCTGGTAGAGACATGTCAATCACCGTGTAGCCCCGCCCTAAAGCGTCCCCTGCTTTATGGTCTGTGTGACTCTAAATGGACCATAATGTACTAAATGAACATCATGCTGTATTGAAGAAGACTTGAAACTAGAGATTGAGACCATAAACTCATGTTTACAATGTTTACTGAGGTAATAAGTCAAGAGAGAAGTAGAGTCATTTTCTCATAGACTTCTATACAACCAGAGGAGTCGCCCCCTGGTGGACACTAGAGAGAATGCAGAACCGGAGGTTGCCGCCTGGTTTCCACCGTTGTCTCCTGGCAACAAGTCACCTTTCACAAGATGTCAGTAGGAGACTTCTCCTTCAGCGATACTTAATTGGACTCAATAACAAACAGAAAGCCGAAGGTAAAGAAGAAGGATTTATTTCTCTGTAGAGTTCTTTCCATAATGCTCTCAGACACGTTCTCCTTCTGAACCGGACTTCGACACAAAAGAGATACCGACCTAAAAATGTTGTTGTTTTTTGGTTTAAGGAGTGGTTGAACTAAAATTGTTCTGCCCTCATGAAAACGAGTGCAAACAAATACTCATCACACTAAAACACCCATGCCACCGGTGAAATACACCGGTTCACAATGAGTGAATGTAAAGCTGTCAGTCTCACCCTCCTCCCGTATAAATCTTTACTCGGTTTGCGGTGTGCCAAGTGCACGTGGCTGCGACGATTTCCTGTCCTGATGCACGAACAAAGCTGTAAAATGTTAACACAGTGCCACTATAAATTTAGAGAGGATGGCCCCTCTGTGGCTCAAGCACCTCAAGACCCATAAAACCTGGCTGCACCGAGGCCGGTCTAATTCCTGGACCCACTTTCCCTCCCTGTTCGCTTACTTCTTTGCAACTTTCAAATCTCAGCACTTGATTTGTAATAAATGGCCTTAAAACACAGCTAGCGTGTGAAAAGGTGCAGGATTAGCGGCTTGCATTGAATGTGTATCCTTCCTTCCTTCATGTGACGTTCATTTGTCTCTTAATGCGAGTCGGGCTCCCGTTTCTTTCCGTCAGAGACGACTCAGCTGCACAAACAGAGAGCCGGAGCAGCAGCAGCACATCATATCTCTGTGATGGAGGAGCTAAAGTCTCCAAGCTGTCAGCCCGTCTTCTCCCGGCTCAGTCCCTACCTGATGTACGATGCAGTATTCATGCTGCCATACACAAGTGATCCTCACAAAATGAGTTGCAGGGGATGTTAGATAAAGTTCTGCATTTTTTTGAAGAAGTGGCAGAGAGGATAATAAAGCTGTTTATCATCTGTGCTTTGATTTTTTTTCTTCATTCCATTAAGTAATCTAGGGCTTTTAGTGTGACGGGTTAAATTACCATCTTTATAGTTTTTGTCTTCATTCGAATGATTATTTTTGAGCTGTGGGACTCTTAACAATTACTGCCTTTTCCCAGCATGCATCGGGCATCGAGTACACCCTGGACACTACTCTGACTTCTTTTAACACTCTCGGCTGTTCGCTTGGCAACCTCACAACTACAACAATATTCTACTAAGTCACCGAGCTCTCGAAGAGATGTATAGACTTTAATACATACAGGAGACGAGGAGAAGGAGCGATGGGGGACACGTATAGGGAAGCAAAAAGACGGCAACTGGGGATGATGAGGGTCATGGTGGTGCCTTTATCCTTAAACCACCAGGGTGCCCTCAGTCTTGATGCTAAGCTAAGCTAATTGTCTTTTGGCTGAAAACAATGGCCGGATTTATCTTATAAATATTCAAGCTCTCATATTCTGTTATGGGTGAAGCCAGAGCCAAAAGACAATTAGCTTAGCTTAGCATCAAGACTGGAGGCAAGGGTCTCTGGTGGTGGTTGAAGGATAAAGGCACCGACCATGAACCACAACATCCCCCATCGCTCCTTCCCATTATTTCCTGTCATCTTTCTAATATATATATATATATATATATATATATCTATATATATATCGATATATATATATATAAGACGGC